TCGATGAAGAGACGGGCAACACCTTCGGCATCTACTTTCTTCGTAGTCGGCACAAAGTGACATCGCTTTGTCATTCGGTCGACAACGACCCAGATCGAATCTACCTCTCGCTTTGTTCGTGGCAAGTCGGTGATGAAGTCCATCGAAATCGATCTCCATCGTTCATCGGGAACCCGCAATGGCTCTAGCAGTCCCGGTGGCTTCGTTAGCCTCGGTTTGTTCCGTCGACAAGGCTCACAGTCAGCAATGTACGATCGGATTGACTTCAACATCTTGTTCCAGTACCACCTTCTAGCAAGTGTCAAGTACGTTCGCTCCGCTCCTGGATGACCTCCGTAGTTGGAATCGTGACACTCCCTAATGACCACTTGCCGCAACTTCACATCGTTGGGCACTACGATACGTGGTTCATCGTCGGTTGGCGTCTGGTACCACAGCAAACCGTTGTCTTCCACATATCAGCGATACTGTTTCCTCTGTTGTCGCTTGGCTTTCGGCTGCTGGCTATCTGCGCGCCGCTGGATTGCTGTGAAAATCGCTTTTGCTTCGCGATCGCTCATGTACGCCTTTTTGATCTTTGTTATCAACTCGCTGTTTGTGGTCACCTCGGTGACTGCCAAGCTGAAGGACGCATCATTGAAGCTGGTCACACTCAAATCATGGAAGTACTTCGTTTCTGGTTGCAAGTCTGGTCTTCGACTAAGCGCGTCTGCGATTCCGTTCTTCGCACCCGGGAGGTATGAGAACGTTGGCTGATACTCCGCGAGGATATCATACCAGCGCGCGAGACGACGATTCGCCATCTTCTGAGTGAAGAGACCTTCAAGACTCTTGTGATCCGTTTCCACGATTGGTGGTTTGTCCAAGCAGTAAATCCGGAAAGCTGCCAGCGCGTGAACGATTGCCAAAAGTTCTTGCTGCTGCGTCGGGTAATTGAGTTCCGCAGATTTCATCTTTCTACTGTTGTAAGCGATAGGTAACTCAACACCGTCGACAACCTGGAACAGGACTCCTCCGACTGCAAATTTGCTAGCGTCTGTACGTAAATGCATAGGCTGAGTGAAGTCGGGCAAGTGCAGCACTGGTGGATTGCACAGCCGTCTCTTCAGTTCCTTGAAGTTCTTCGACTGCTCTTCGTCAAAACGAATCTTCGCGTTGCGCTTGGACTTCTTCTTGAGCAAGGTGAACATGCTTGCTGTCAGCTT